GATCTTTACATTTTTGCGAGAAATGTGGTAACCCATAGGTTACCGCTGGGTTAACCGCGGGTCATCCCTGGGTTTCCCTCGGAGAAATATTCTCAGATGTTGTATAGCTGTCACACCACTTGCACTGAACATTGTTACAACCTTGACGTATGGGTTTTTTCGCGCTTCACTGGGTACCAATGGTACTTTACACCCAGTGCCTATGTGATGATTCTCACAGATAGGAGAAGGAATTTCAGCTATGTGTGGGTCAAGGTTGTTGCTTTCCTCGGAGTCACCTAGTGGGCCTGAAAATAAGTCATAGTTCAAAGGGCTGACCGAAATAGAAGCTGAAGGAGGTTTCTGGGTTGTGGGTAGACGCCTTTGCCCCAGCCAGGACTCAGAGTGGCTCTCATGCTTTCCGGGGAAGATCGAACTTACCCATTACCTCACCCAAATCATGGCCCTCATAAGTAAATAGCATTGCAGCAGCTAGGAAGGTCTGACTAAAGAAAGAGAAGGAGCTCAAGGATTCAAGGAGCCTGAGGAGTTAAGGAAGATCTGTGATAAGGAAGAAAAGGTGGGATGCCGCCTTCAGGAAGGATCTCGATTCAGCCCAGATGATGCTTTGAGTAGGCGAAAGTAGCGAGATTAGCATTCCCCACGACGGCTCGGGATAGACCCTGGGGATAAGAATAAAGAGAAGGAGCTCAGGAAATAGCCTCAACAAAGTGGGTCCAACTCAAATAAGTATAAAAACGCGAACTCACTTCCTCTCCCAACCAACTTCATGAGTTTCACGAAAAAGCTTTTCCTCTTCATCGACATGGCTGATGGATGAGAATAGATACGAGTAGGAATAGCCGAAAGTATACGGTAATACAGAGTAGTGGATTCCGGAAGTTGAAAATGCTGCAACCACGAACTCGGGCGCGTCTCGGTTACAGATGCAATACGTGCGACGAATACACTGAATAGATGTATGTGTGTGGAACGCCGTTCTGAAGGGGTGGAGCCACGGGGCCCCGCCTCCCGCACGGCCATCACCCCCGCGGGCGGTCCGCCGGGGTGATTACCACGATACACGCAATGTGGTAACAAAACTAACAACTGATTAATCGACATGGAAAAGACCAAGGGTTACATTGTGAGTCCAAGTTCGGCCAAGAAAGGGTAGACCGGAAGTGTACGGTAGGTTTGATAAGAGAAGACGTCTCGATAGAATCGTACAGCGAGAATAGTTGGAATAGTTGCTTTACATAAGAAGTACTGGTAGAGATATCAAAGGTTAGTCCGTCAATTGAAGATGCGCCATGCATCTGACTCAAATCTGCAGCTGCGCAGAAACCTTCGAGCTTTGCATAGCCTAATTTGTCGTGGAGGTTACTTTTCTGATAGATTTCTCTTCAGGGTCGTCCGGCAGTTGTGGAAAAAGTTTGCAGATTACGACACCCTGGGATTTTCCTTCTTTGGTAGGCCTCCTTT